TATATTAAGTTTATTTATAAAGAATATAATTACTATTATATATATATTTATATGTACTTAAAATATAAACATATTTACTTTCTATTTTGTATTAACATTACAAAAATTATAACTCATAAAATTATTAATTACAATATATATACCTTTTTTATATAAACTTATAACATATAAATCTAAAGGGAAGTTGTGAGATTATAATAGTTTGAAAACTTAGTTATATTTTTTTTAATTTTTTGTAATTAAGGATAAACTTATATAGTTAATTAAGTTAATTAATGAAATTATGATTCTTAATTGACTTGTAATGTTTTTTAATCTATATACTGTATATACATTGGGTTCATTTATAAAAAATATAATTACTATTGTATATATATTAAAATACTTTTAGTGTATATACACTTTAAATATAAATATATTACTTTCCATTTTGTGTTAACATTACAAAAATTATAAGTGATAAAGTTATTAATTATGTTTGAGATATTTGTTTTTAATTATTTAAATTTAAATTTTACTATTTGTGCGTTTTAATTAATTTAATTATTAGTAAATTATATATACTATGTAAAAAAAATATTATTATATATGGATACCTATTCGGATTTGGGTAATTGGATACCCATAAATAGTATTTTAATAATTTTTTATATAATTAAGTTTTTTAACGAGTTAGGATAATTATAGAATAGTAGGGATGTATTAGAGTTAGGATTAGGATAATAATTTTAAAAAATATTTGAATAGTTAACAGAATTCAAGTAATTTATTTTTTATAGGGTTCAGGTTCAGATTTCTCATTATTAATAAGTACCTTATCAGTTAACATCTTTAACCTTACACATTATGAACTAACAAATCAAATCTTAGTTATCAGTCTTACAATCGATTTTTTCTTTTTTAAATTACAATTAGTTAGAAAGAATTATTCCTGTATTTGGAAAGTTGGAAAACATCTTTTATAATTCATTGAAACTATTTAGACACGTACTGATTTGGCATGTTGAAGCTAGGGATGAATTTGTTGTCTTTATTATTGTAGAAATTTGATTCACACCGAAAAAAAGGTCAAAAAAGGATAAGGCGTGCAGGAAATTTCCTGGCAAAGGTCTATCATTCCGAATATTAGAAAAAGTTTTCTACGCAAACAAATTATTGGTGTTTTTCAGACTTTCTAGAATTCGCCAGTATTCAATTAGGAATCTGGCTACTTTTTTTTTTTCTTCGACATCACGAATCTGGGACCGGGAATACCATAAAGAATGAATCTGGGACCTTAACAAAGAGACAAGTGGGTCAGTGTTACAAACAAGAAACTTTTCAATTAATTTCAAAGACTTTCCCCTTTGATTATCATTATTATCTTCTCAAGTATTATTCCCTTTTTTTTTTCTACATAATCTATTGAGTACCTGAAATAAATAACTTCTATTTTATATATGTAACATTTTTCCCTTTGGGGTATGTAGAAAGGCCTATACCATCATGCATTGCGGTACGTATATAAAAGGTAATTTGTTGTAAATATTAATGTATCTAATAAGAAAACCAATCAACCAAGCAGTAGAACGATCAAGCACTCAGCACAATATAAGCAATCCAAACTCAATTACGAAGTCTTTAAAAAAAAAAAAAACTCAAATCCGAAGTGGAGCTTGCTTTTATCTTTCAAGTTTTGTTTTAAAGAGTACGTGAAAGATCTTAGCTTAATTGGCTACTACGCAATTACTAGTCCATTCAAGCTCATGTTTGAACAGGTCACGTAGTCAATAATTATGGTTTGAACAGGCACGTCTAATTCTTTCCCTAAAAATAAATCCATGCAACTAAGAAAATGCATAATTTTAACGAATATTAAAGCCAAGTAGATGGATGTAGTTTTCTAGCTAAGCAAATGGGAGCTTTGAAAGATCACGATGCCGTAGCAAGGTCCTCGTCTTTTACTTTAAGCAAGCGTGTGGGGTAGTGGCAATATATAACAGCTATGGAAATTTTGTCCTCAAACCTTTGTTTCAAACAATTTTTTAGCTAATTTATTTTTCTCAATTACGAATGTCAAATTCACACTAACAATTTAATTAAAAATGAAGAAAAGAAATACCTTGATGGAACCAACATGAAAATAACACTTACATTTTGATAAATGAGCATTGCGCTAATTCACTATATGACTTCAAATCAAGGGATTGCCTTGACAACTAATCCCTTGCAAAGAGAGGGAAAACAAATTGAAATGAAAAGTAAATTCAAAGGTATTTGTTGGTAAATTAAAATAATCGAAAAAGATCGCTGTTACATATATATTGTTTTCTCTTTTCTATACTTTATTCACGTACAATGATAGTGACAATTAGTCGACAAAGTATTTGGACTGAAAAGCTTAAATTACAAAGTATTTTTGATAGGATAATATAATAAGCTGTCGCATGCATTTTTGTCTCAAATAGTTGATGCATCTTATGTTTTATTTAAATTTAAGTCCGACATATACTTAATTATAAACTTTTATATAAATTAACATTTTCAGCTTCGTTTGTTCTTAAATTTATTCAATAACTATATGCATGTTGGTGTAAGTGAGTGCAAATAATTAAGACAAAAATAGTATTAGAAGAGCATTACTCAGCAGAAGATTACATCATCCATCAATTTGTTTAAATAATAAATGTAATTTACTATTTATTTATTTGGATGAGTGTATGGCCTGATTACCTTTTCACTTTCAACATGCTTAGCTGTTACTTTCGGTTTCAATCATCTAAAACAGTATATAAAATTGTTTCTTTTTCAATAGAACGTCGAAGTACGTTAGTAAATTGTTTAAAAATTCCACAAGGAGATATCTTCATTGACTTTTACGAGCAAATGTTGCACGAATTATTTTTACAGAAAGAAGGTGGTAGCTACAGCTAGGGACTTCAAAAATTTATAAAGCCGTTGAAAGCTTCCAGATGTTAAAAACTGTTTGGTATGCCAACTGTTTCCAAACTATGCGATACTTAGCGGTGCATCCCTGACTATTTTTCGAATCTTAGGCCGCACTGCAGATTGAGGTTTAATTGATGTCACCTTTTGACTTTATATATCAGTCTTTTGGTCAACGTCACCGAATTTTACAGGTATTTTATAAAAATTAATATTTGACAAAAAATAATGTTTTTTTTTAAAAACTATTTTATTAACCTCCTTAATAAGCATGTCATTAGGAGTCTCTGGCCTCACCAACAAAAGATTTTCTATGACATAAAATACTTGGTTTGGACAGAAACGAACCTGCATAATTACAAAATATCACAGCTTGAAAATCTCTTATTAAGCATTCATTTACCTACTATATATGATCACTGTAATTTAATTTTAATTTTCTTATCTACGTAAAGTTAAATAACTACGTGAAAGATATGGAGTTTATTCCAATAACGAATTAAACTTTGGTGGATGCAGGTGTAATCGTCGGTTTTAATTTCGTTAAGAAAGTTTGGTGCGATTCTTACACACGCAAGAATTAATTATCTTAGCTCTCCTTTTCCCATTGACCAAACAATATATTCCACTTGAGTCATTCACACCATCAGAGTCAATCTAAAGACCTCTATGGATACCATTGTATTCTACATAAACAAAAGTACTTATGTACATCATTTTAAATAAATTCCATAGTGTCTTAATTATTATAAATTTTTTAAACATTTTCATATCTAAATTAGTTTATTCTTTTTTACACAGAATTTCATGATTTTTACCGAAAAAATTTTTCTTCTATTTAATTTTCCATTCCATATACAAGAAATATACACCGTAATGTTTGCTCAATGGTAGTGTGCGCACATTTAGATTCTGAGCAGTTAAAAGCGTTGGATTCAAAAATTTGTTTAAAATATATCTTTAATTAAAAGACAAAACACGTCAAATGGTGTTGAAATATAGCAAATATTTTCAAATAGGAATATTAGTTGGTTTATTTCGCTTTCACTACCTTCTTTTTGGTTTATCATCAGCATCATGTAAGGCTCTAATTTTTTTCTCAAACCAATCAAGAGATTTCATTGATAATTTTTAAAAAAAAATTACAAGGTGAAATAGAGAAATGACACTCAATGTTGGATTCAATAATTTTTTTATATAGTATCATAATTAAAATGATAATAATAATTAGTAAATTCATTAGCATTATTAACTTAATAAAATTTTAATATAAGTAATATAATTAATAAAAATTTTTGACACTTCATTGGTGTAATGCCTGCTATATCAAATTTTTACAAAAAACCTAATGATAGAGGCTGATACAAAACAGAGATCACAATGACAGTGTGCTGAATCAAAATAAAATAACTATAAGCTGAATCATAATCAAGCATATAACCAGTATCTTCAGCATCAGAGGGCGTGAGAATGTGTCCATATAACACGGAACAACAACGAGAGCTTTCAGCTATGGATAGGAGCAGAAACAGTGCGTGTCAACGGCAGAGAACAGATCCCATAATGTGGAGCTAATCCATGCTAAAGTGTACTGGCAGAGAGCAAAACAAGACCACCATAGCGGCAGCAAAGTATATTGTAGAAGCTGACCTTTCGTTTCATAATATTCGAACCTAAATTTATTGTTTTACAAGATATTAGAACATAAAATTGATTATACATATGCTGATACTTTTCCAAAAGATTATGCATATGAGGGAAGATTTTTATATATAAAATTTTCAACTAAATCTCCGAGGTGCTATGTTAAAAAAAAAATACATCAATTCTGTTTATTGAAGAATCTCAGAGCAGGTCATTTTCCAAATTGATGAAGAATTTGTCCTTCTGCCATGACATGATTTTGAACTTGTGGAATATACCTATTAGCAGAATAGTTTCTTGTTCCTTTGGAGAACGTAAGTTCATACCCAGCTGTTCCTTACCTAGAAATTAAGAAAAAAAAATCTATAAATTTGCCCCGCCTTTTTCGGTTACAAACATGAAAAAAAAAAAAAGAAGCAGGTGAACTCAATCAACTAAAGCAAGATATACATGCAGAAGTTTCCTTCCCCTCTCTTTTGTCATCTTTTTTGGTGGGACAACACGTTTTTGCTAAATTCTGAATTAATAGAAACAAAGCTTTCCTTATATCTTGTGTTTTAATTTTTGTCGATTGTTTTCACAGGGATAATAATGGTGACCTGCACTAAGCCAATTATTACCTGTTACGCATATGAATTACAGCTAGCAGCCAAATTCCATTTGTCACACTCTACTTAAAAAACAATTCTCCCTTCACCTCCATATCCAACTAATTTTTCTTTCTCCTTTTTCGCATTCTCCATTGACTTAGATGCGATTGGGGGTATGCAAAGGAGTAGAAGCCTCCAAGGCAGAGCTCTCTGGTCTCTATAAATACAGGAAATTCTGTAGATCCGATATCACCAGCTCTGAACTTGGAGCCTTTCTACTTCTTTGGTTTTTCTAATTTTTTGCCAACTTGTTATATCCATGGCTTCCAAATATTCCTGCCCTTTAAATAAGTTCAAATTCTTCTTAGGGTGGTTTTTACTTCTTATAAATATGGCCTCTGCCCAATTGTCCTCTAACTTTTATGCAACAACATGCCCTAGGGCACTTGCCACCATTAAATCTGCAGTGAGCTCTGCTGTCTCGAAAGAGGCTCGCATGGGGGCTTCCTTGCTCCGTCTTCATTTCCACGATTGCTTTGTCAATGCAAGTCTTCTCTCGCTTCATCTTTCCAGCTCGCTACCAACTTAATTCATTTTCCTTGAAACATCCTTGCTTGTATGCACGAGTTCAATTTGCTTGCTGATACTGTATGTCTAGTCAGAAATTTCGGTCACTACTAATTACTACTAGACAATTACAAAAGAAAACCTGAAAAACTAGCTAGTTAAAAAAAATGCAGGACCAAAGCAAATGCTATGGTCCCTTTTTACCATTTACGTATTTTGATTTGCTTTGAATCTTCCAGTATTTTTCCCTTACTATTAAAGTTAAGAATGTCTTTTATCCTTTTTCTCCTTTGTTCTTTTAAAGGTTAGGACGATGTCACATAGGTAGAAAGATTCCCTGCAATTTGTATTTGAGATTTGCTTTACCAAATTTTTTTTGGGGGGCAGATTTGTTTTACTAATTTAATTCAAAAGAAAACCAAA